ACTCATTGTTTGTGATGTCACTCAAACCAAAATATGTGCATACATCCCCCTACCCATGCAACCTACAGCAGTTTAGCCCTGCCCATTCAGCCTACAGCAGTTTAGCCCTGCCCATTCAGCCTACAGCAGTTTAGCCCTGCCCATTGCAGCCCTGAGGATGCAAAATAATAAATAAATAATAATCATGTAGAAATGACTTCTGACTGTTTTTGGTACATAAAACTGCACAAATGTTACAGGTTGTAAGGCTTTTGTTCCAACATCAAAGATACAAAAAAATATGGTATAATGTAAATGTTTAACTGTTGATCACTGTGTAAGTAAACAGTGTTGTGTCTGTAAGTTTATGCTGCTGTGTGTGCTGTGCAGGTGCGCTGGGCGGATCTGGAGGAGCAGAAGGACGCTGACAGGAAGCGAGCGATCGGGTTTGTAGTGGGTCAAACTGACTGGGAGAAAATCACAGATGAATCGGGCCAGCTGGCTCAGAGAGCGCTCAATCGCACAAAGTACTTTTAGCAGTGCTGGTCTTTTTTATTACTCGTAAGGTAAGATTTACCCACATTTATCCACCTATTAAACCCTTTTAGTGTTGTAGTTTGTAGGTCTGACATCACAATATTACACTATACTGTACTATATTATACTGTACTACTTTACAGCACTGTACTGCGCTTCTGAGGTGGCATACTATTTTTAAAATATTTAGTACAGTAATATGTGGTTTTAAACACAGTTTATAACTCTGAGAAGGTCTCTGTTGATGTTATTGAATTTTTGTATTTTGGCAGCTTTAATATTTGCTCTTTCTGCTTTGTTTAAAGGTGCAGGGGGTAGGATTTTGGATTTTAATGTTTTAAAGGTCATAAATCGAACAGCATCGAAGGTCTTAATGTTTCTGAAGAGTCTCCTGTCCCACATCAAAACAGCCTTAATCTACCTCACATCAGTTACAATATCACATTTATTCCATTTTTTCTACCCCCTACATCTTTTACTGACCAGACTCTGCATTCAGAGCTTATACTCAATGTGTTTATTTATTTATTCTTTATTTTGGACCTGTTTTAGGTTCCCACTCAGTGAAACGGTGAAGTCCTGTACAGAACTCTAGATGGAGAAACGTTTGATGTCCATCAGAAGGTTTTGGAGTGCAGTAACATGTCTGGCGTCTGAGATGGCCTCAGTAAAATCCTGCGGTCCTGCAATATCTTAACTCCTGTCTTAGCCTGAATCTCAAGTTTTAGTTCCTTTTATGCTTTTTGTGGTGAAAATCCTGCAGCAGCTAATAATTTGATAAGAAGTGTTAACCTGTCAGTTTTTTTTGTTTTTGTTTTTTATGAAATTCTACAGAATACATGTTTTCTTCTTCAAAGCTGTGTTGTGAGGTCACAGATATCACCAATAAATATCACATTAAATGGTCTTTAAAACAACCTGCCTATGATGTATTTGACTAAACTGGTTTTGAGAAGCTGTGATTGGGTGAGGAGATGATGTTCTGTATGATTCTGTAAATCCTCTGCAGCATCTCCTGTCCTGTCTGATGGTCAGCAGTTACATAATATTGAAAAATATTGATCAGTCCAATATTGATCAAACATTGAACACTAAATCACACTTCTTAAACAACACTTTGCACTCTGACTCTTTCTAAGAAGCACCAAACTGGACACCCTGTCCTGACTGTGGGGGCTTAAAGGTGAGTGGGGCTTAAATCCGTGATGAATCGACTCCAAAAGAGAGTCGGTTATTTGACTCGTCTGGGATTCTGAGTCGACTCTTGGCCTGATTCACTATGATTGGCTTGAGGGTCATTTTGACAGATAAATGCTTTAATCAAACTGGTCGATGGCTGTTATGTCTTTACAGCTGGACCGTACAGCTCTGAATGTGAGATCAGTTTCCTCCATTTGTTTAAAATCGATATGACCGTCTGAAGCCCTGCTCCACATCGTATCTTATTGGTTGACTAAACTACATCAGAGTACACACAACTCTGGTGAAGTGGACAGTGAAGCGTAATTTTCCCACACTGCTGCGTTAGTGTTTGCCATTGGAATCAGTAACAATAAATGCATTTTTACAGATATTAAAATGTGCTTGTGAACACAGCCCAGTGCAGTGAGTAGTGAGTTTGAGCGGCATTTAGTTTGTTTACTTTCAGGGCTTATGTCCTCCCTGACCTGCTCACCAGCCGCTGAACTCCATTCACAAAACATCTTGAAGATTTCAGCCTCTGAACTCGCACTCGTGGTCACAGTCTGCACTGAAGCTCTTCATATTGATGATAGAGATACATTGAACTGAGATTAGAAATGACACAGAGTACAAAAAACAAACCCAAACAATAAACTTTTCCACTGAACGTTACGGTAAAAAGGAACAAGCTGCAACAATTACGAATGGTGATTACTTCACTGTGATCTGCAGCAGCTCGAAGCTTGTCAAGGTGGTTTATTGTACTCTATGATCCCTTTATCGGTCACTCTCCTGCTGTGTTTTTTCAAAATAAGTGAATTTCCTCAAGAAGTTCAGTCGAAGTTAACTCCAGAAAACCTAGAGTTGTGCATCATGAGCTCCGATGGTTGGTCTTGACGCTTTAGGGTTTGTTTTTTATGAACAGTGTAATTGGCAGCATAGTGGCATAGTCGATAGAGAATGGAAAACGCCAAAATATGAGCTCTAACATTCATCTAAAAATGGACTCTATCGTCACTGCTCTGATCACGGTTCTCAGGCTGGACCCTCAACATTTGTTGTTCTACCATTTTGAAATTGCTTGTTGAATATGGAGGAACAGCAGCTCCAGTTTTTTGTGGGTCAATCACAAATCATCTGAGAAAGTCTCACCACCGTGTGTCCTAACTGTCAGACCTCATTGAGCAACGCTTATCTTCAACACTGGTCTGCATACAGCTCCTTCAGCATTTACAGATTGTGGAAAGACATAGTGACGAATATCACAGTTGGTGTTTAGTGAGAGGAGCTGCAGGTCAATAATCTGTATAATAATATTAGTAATGTGTAATATTAATGCACTTACTGATATATTTGTATTCCACGCTGTGTCAAATGAAGTCACTTGCTGTTTTTCTGATTGCATCTCACTAATCTGAAGTTTGTGCTTAACAGACGTGAGCTAGCACAGACCTGGAGCCGTATTACAAAACATCCTCTCTTTAGTTAAGATCTGACAGGTCAAGATAAGATTTTACACAGATTCATCTTACAGAACCAAATCTGGTCTTAGTTTAGGAATTTTAACTCCTCTTGCAGCCTTATCTACAGTTAGGAAATCTTGACCTATTTGAAGTCGTCAGTCATCTGTCATGTCTGTTTCCTAGCAATCGACCATACACACAGCTGAAACATAAACACGTCATCAAAATAACTTTAAAAATGTTAGTTACAGCTGCCGTTACTGATGTAAAAAAGGTTAAACAAAAGTGCGATGAACTGTAAGTTCGGAATATTGTGAGAGCGCTGTTTTTCAGAGCGTCTGGTCGTGATCTGGGGTTGTTTTACACAAACATTCTAGTAACTGAAGACAAAAAGACAGGACGCTTCTGTAATACAGCTGCTGATCCCTCCCCCGACTCTGTTCTCTGGTGCTCTGTAGCTGAGTTTAATATGCTAGAAGATGATGACTTCAATCATTTATTTCTGGCTCCTATCACTTATACAATTTCCTTCTAGTACAGTGTCAAAAAGCAAACAGTATGAACCACAGGAACATGCAGTAATGCCTGCACTGCTGATGTGACACACACACACATATATATGGATGGATAGATAGATAGATAGATAGATAGATAAAGTTTGGAGTTAAAGATGTAATGAGACATCTGAGTCTTTTGAAAAACCGTTGAATAAGAGATGATGGTGGTGTTTTTTGGGTTTTCAGTCGGCGATTTAGAAATTTATATTGAGCTGTATTGAAATGTTCACCCTGTTGTGTCCTGTGGAGGAGCAGATAACATGCTGAACTGTGTCAGTGTTGTTCTCCAAATGTGAGGAAGATGAGGCAGAATGGCTCTGAAGAGATCTGCTCCAGCATCTGTCCTGTGATGATCAGCTTCACAGAAGGTTTACGATGTTTGAGCATTTTTTTTTTCTTTTCTAAAAGAAGAAATGACACCCAGCTTACTGAAGCGAATCCACCCTCCTTCAGCGTCCTTCTGTTGACCACTGAAGTTCTGCAGTCACTGATTTTACCCTCTTTGCTGTTTTAAACCTGGAGCTGATGAGATCGACCAGTTTGGAACTCCATCCTGAGAGGCTTTCAGATCTGCAGCAATGAGATGAGTAGAGTGTGTAAGTTTACAGATCACTCAGTAAACTAAAAAAAAAGGAGCTGATTCAACCACATTTTGAAACAAATTTGGAATATTTTCAGTTACCATCAGTTGTTATGATATTTCAGTATCAATTCCAGAAAAGTTGGGGCAGAAGGTAAAATGTAAATAAAAACAGATCTGCAAATCATCTTTGACCTGTGTTCAGTTGAAAACAGTACAAAAAAATAGTTGTCAACTGCTTTATTTATTTATTTATTTATTTTGTATATATATGCTTGTTCTAAATTTGAAGTCTGCAACATGTTCTAAAAAAGTTGAGACAGGAGCATGTTTACGCTGTGTTACCTCACTTTCCTTTTAATAACGTTCAGCAGATGTTTGGGAACTGAGGACTCCAAATGTTGACACCAAATGTCCGGGATCATCATTATCGTATATTGCTCTTCATAACGTGCCACATGTTCTAAATATGAGACTGTTCTGGACTCCAGGCAGGTCAGTCTAGCACTCGGATTACACAGTCATGCTGCTGTAAGAGGTGCAGAATGTTTCTTGGTTTGTCATGTTAAAATAAACGTGGACGTCCCTGAAAAACACGGCGTCTAAAAGGTAGCACATATCCCCCCCACACCCTGACAGATGCTGATTTAGAACTTTACGCTGGTAACAATCTGAACTGTGATTTTCTTTTTTGGCCCACAGAACACAACGTCCATTATTTCCACAAACAATCTGAAAGTTTGCCTCATCAGACGACAATACACGTTTCCACTGAGCATCAGTCCATTTCAGATGAGCTTGAGCCCAGAGAAGTCGGCGGTGTTTCTGGACAATGTTGATATTGACTTCACTGTGCAGGGTACAGCCTTGCCCTGCATTTGTGGATACAGCAGTGGACAATGTTTATTGACAACGGTTTGTTATTCCCGAACCCATGTGGTGATATCAGAAACATGTCGGTCTATACTGAGGTGCTCTCTGAGGGGTCAAAGGTCAGTTTTCAGCCTTTTCCTTTACGTTTTCTCCAGATTCCCTGAATCTTTAATATTGGACTGTAGAGGGTGAAATTCGTAAAATCCTTGCAATCGTGCCTTAAGAAACATCCTTAAACTGTTGGACTGTTTGCTTGTAAAGCACTGAGCTTTTCGTGAATGCTCCTTATACACCTAATCATGAGAGCATCACCTGTCACCTTTTCACCTTTTTAACTGTGGAACATTTCAAAACAGGTGTTTTTAATCGTTCCACAAACTTCCCAGTCTTATATGCCCTGTTCCAACTTTTTTGGATCGTGTTGCAGGCATCAAATTTGGAATTAGTCTATATTTACAGAAACTGATAAGATAGTTGGTAAAATATAAAAAATCGTCTTTGTGCTGTTATGATCACTGTTTTCATTTGTGTCTTAGCTACAGTCCCAAATTTTGTTTGGATTGGGTTTGTATGTGTGTGTAGTCAGTATGTTTTTAATAATAATTATGAAACAAATCAAATCATGTGGTTTTATGATAAACACAGAAACAGGTAAGAGCAGAAAACCACAATGTCTTATTACACTGTAATAATCATTACCGCTAACTCCTTTAAATCTGCACTGCTACACCTGTATGAACAAAAATCAGTTTTATTAAATATACACTAAACAAACACTAATCATAAAATTATGATATTTAATAGCATAACGCTGCATCAGTTGACTCTTTTGTTTTTTTAACAGGAAGTTATGTTGCCCTCAGAGCTTTAGTGAGTACCATGTACTCATAATTATCTTAAAGCCTGTACAGTGTTATTTATTATAAAGCGCTTTATTTTGTGTTAATAAATATTTAATGAACACTTCCTGCCTGTTTCACATTGATTTCCTATTTGAGAGTAAAGATCTTTATTCCTGTCTAAACCAATTGTTTTCATGGAAACAGGCAAGAGCCGATCAGAATGTGCCTGTAATGTGTTGATAATAAGCGAACAGGCTTAGCGAGCTAACTTTTAGCTTCAGAACAGGGCTGCAGGTGTGTGTTTGAACAGAGACTGAATATTAATGACCAAAACAGCTCGGTTAAATATAGAAAACTACTGTAAAATTGGCAAAGATGATACAGAAAAATGACTTCAGTCTGATGTTGTTAATTAAATATATCGTCAAAATACATACACTCCTCATGGATGATGTTCTGTAGTCTTCACTCATAAGCTGTAAAGCTCCGCCCCCTGGTTTGTCATATCAACCTACAGCCTGTCTCATTATTTATAACTACCACTCGTCACAGACGTAGAACTTCATCTCTTCTGTTTATAGTGTCTGAGATGGTGAAGATGCTGGAGTCTGATCTTGGCCATTAACTAGAGCTCAACAGCTGCTGTTTTCAGATATTTCACCTTTTAGCACCAGTCAAAATTCAGCCCGTTCTAAGAACGCAGGTTGATTTTCTCAGTTCACTCAGCTTTGCAGTGATGAATGATTTTTTAAAGTTAATACAGTGACCAGATTAACTTCTTATCACACAATGAGGCTTATTATTCAGTAACTGAATGGAGCTGTTCTTTGATAATAAAAGTGTGAAATAGAGCTTTTGACCTCCTGGTGGGCTCTGGACATTTAAGGGGTTAACTTCAAATTTAGAGTTCATTGTATTCAATGTTTCGAGTTAAGCCAGAACTCAACATTTCCAGTTAAGCCAGTTTCTTACTTTATAACTTTAAAATCTGCATCACTGTTTTAATCGTTGCCCTGCGATGGACTGGCGACCTGTCCAGGGTGTATCCTGCCTTCCACCAAATGATAGCAGCACCCCACCGCGACCCAGAAGGATAAGCAGTTTAGATGATATGTGTGTGTGTGTGTGTGTTTTAATCGTAAACAGGTACAATTAGTGTTTAGTGCACATCTGCACTGACCAATCAGAACACAGTTACTTGTTTTTGTTTTCTTATACTGAATAATGGAGGCTGGATTTACACAGACGGTCTGTTCCAGCTTTTCAGATACAGATGTGCTGATTAAGTTTCTTTTTTGGATGTTCAGTTAAGAAACCTGTTTTTAATGTTACAGTTTCAGATGTCAGAGCTGAGAAACACGCAGACTCTGATCACTTAGCTCTGTCACTTGTTAGCTCAACTCGGCCAAAGTGTCATATATTATATTACATCATATACTGTACTGGTACTAATGCACTGTACACTGTTAAAGATGGTTCTTCAAGGGAATGTTTCTGTTTAGAGCCATGAGTTTTATATTGAACCATTTCATGCCTTAAGTGGAGTGGTGCAATGGTGAAATGGTTCTTCAGATTGATGGAGGATGTGTTATATATGGTTTTTGTCATTATATTGTGATAAGCTTGTAACAGTAGAGGAAACCTTTTGGTGCTACATTGAACTCTCCAACACATTGGTTCAATAGAACATATGGTTCTTAAGTAGAAGAAAAGAACCATCTTTTATAAGAGTATAGTGTTATACTGTAATGATGTATGTACATAGTGTAGATCGGTGTTCTCCAGCCTGTCGGCGCTCTGAGCCCTGTAGTCCTCACAGCCCTCACTTCAGTGACAGTAACACCATGCAGAGCTGAAGGGCAGCTGGAGGGTCGTGTGTATTTCGGACAGACTCGTGCAGTGCGCACGCGTGTATCAGTCTTCCTCCTGTTTGTAAATGAGGAGATCAGCTTCTCTGCAGCTGCTCAGTTCAGATTACAGTTCACTGCAGCTCAGCATGCTGTAAAATTCATAAAGAAGTCAGTCTGCGTCAATGTGGAGCCTCGCTGAGGACCACCCTAAAGCTGCGTAGGGGCTACATAATGTATTCCGTTACAGATTGCTGACCTGTTTAACCCTCTGGAGTCCACAAATGCACCCACAAGTCAGATTCTCTGTTTCTGTATCTGTGTCTGTATCTTTGCGAAAATCCAGCACAGAAATACAGTTCAGACATTTCCTGAGTCTGTAGAGTCGCCCTTTCCATTCCATCTTATCACGAGATCATACGAGACTCACATCCGGAGTCATGAGGCTATGAAGAGGGGCTGAGATACACGTCATCTGCCTCTCACCGTGTGGAACTGGTGGATTCGTGTGTCCGTCTACATTCTTTGTGGAACTGACTGATGGACACTCAGGAAATCACTAAGGACTGACCCACCACACCAGAAACTCTTCATTCTTTGTTCAGTCCACATTGGAGACTCATGTGAAACGGCGTGCAGAGAGTTTACAGCTGCTGAAGTTGCTGCAGCGGTTTTGGAAACTAGTGATGAAGATAACGGAGCATTTAGATATGAAACATATGAGGATCATGTTATATGAAGAACCTTGAAGGAGAATTTAAGAAGATATGGCCAAATCAAGAAGATGCCTTCAGACCTCAGAGGGTAAAAATGTAATGTAAATGTCAAACTTTGTAACCTAATCCAAAAGATTACTATTACTGTAATCTGATTACTTTCTGTTACTTTTGGGTTACTTATCTTTTTCAAGTAATTAAATAAAGAAAAGAAAAAAATCCACAAAACTAAACACAAAGCAAACAGGAGAACTGAGCAGAATGTAACTGCTGCACCATTTAAGGTGGAACAGAACAATTTGAATAAGAAGCCACTTCAGCCTCGTTGTTCTGTGTCTGAAAATTGGGCTTATTACTGTCCTGTCTTGTGTAAAAAGTTTTTTTGCAGTAAAATTGACTGTTGTAAATTCAGGCTAACAGCAATGCTTATGATGCATCACTTAAAACAGAAAGGTAAATGGTAAGGGTTAACAAAATAAAGTCTAAATGAAATGTTTTAACATCTTTTCTATTCTTTTTTGGACTGAAGGCGGGGCGTAAATGGAGCCGCTATTCGATTTCTTACGCTGTGTGAATCATAAACATTACAGACGTCCTGGGTTAAACTGGTATCACACTCTCCTCGAGGAGAACTGATCCTGTCCCTACAGGGCTACAGTTACAAATAATGAACATGTTTATATGTTTGCACACATTGTCTGAAAACTGTTGAAGAAAGAAATCATACATTCGAAAAATGAAACAAACATTACCACTTACAAGCCTCTTTTCATGTTTTGTTATTCTTAGTAAATATTGCAGGTTATCACTGTTTTTATAATCTGATCACTGTCTTACTGAAACTGTAACGAATCACAGTTGCCTTTTTACCCTTTTTAACATCCTGATTACATAACGCTGTTATGTGCATTTCATTGCTACCCAACTTCTCATAGAGGGCGCTAGTGAGCACCAGTCTAAGCACCAGAGTGTGAAATGGGACACTGTCTAGCCCCGCAGTCTTGCTGTGCACTGCAGAATGCTAGGAACTGGACTCATGTTCGCTTTGAAGTTTGGAGTCCTCAATTTAAACCTGTGTTTATTGATCTTCACTCTGCTGTTGAGTATTTCAGTTACAACAAAGCATAAAGCATGTTTATATAGTAACTGTGCTGTTATGACTCTGTATACAGTGTCAGCTTTCACTGTGATCAGGATCTGAAAGTAGACCCTGTCAAAGTCCAGAAAGCCTCTAAACTCCGGAGTTTCTTCTGAAATGAAGCGTGTTAATATTGAGTTTGTGCTGTATTAACAGCCTCTACTCTTCTGCGAAGGCTTTATACTAGATGTTGGAGCATTGCTGTGAGGATTAGTGATTAGTGATTGAGCATTAGTGAGGTCAGGTACTGATGCTGGATGGCCCTCCTCTGTGTTGCTGTGATTGGATGGTGTGTAAATGGACTTTCTGATATGGCTGTAAATAAAACATTTCTGTTCCATCATCATCTCTAATCTCTGAACTCAAACTCAGCTGTTTCTCACAGTCTGTTAGTCACTCAGTGTGAGACGATCCAGAAATTTCTCAAAAATATATAAAATACTGACCACCCCAAAATCCTCTTCTGAACGAGTAATACAGTTACATCACTGATGTGTACAGTTAAACACAGCACTGTACAAAACCTGTTATCTACACACTTCAAGATAGTTATTCAAGGGTTCTTTAGTAAAGGTAGTGGTTCTATATAGAACTACAAACACCCAAAGAACCATTTGAATGCCTAAATGGTTCTCTGCATGGTGAAATGGTTCTTCAGATTGATGAAGGATGCATTGGTTCTTTAATGCACCAAAAAGAGTTCCTCTGTTATTACAAGCTTGAATCATAACCATAGAAGAACCTTTTTGGTGCGATCGAGTACCATTCAACACATTCTCCATCAATCTGAGGAATAATTTCACCATGCAAAGAACTTTTCAAGCATGAAATGGTTTTATAGCAAACTCATGATTCTAAATTGAACCATTCCCTTTAGTAAAGAACCCTTGAGGAAGCATCTTTTTAAGAGTGTATATGGTTCAATAGAGAACCTTTTTGAAAAGGCTTCTATATAGTACCATAAATGGTTCTGCCACTGTTACTATGTCAAGCTTGTAACAACAGAAGAACCCTTTTAAGTGCTATATAGCACCATATACAACACATCTTCTGTTAGTCTGAAGAACCATTTCACCATGCAAAGAACCCTTTAAGCATGCAAATGTTTTTTGAGTGATCTTTGTTAGAAATAGAACAACTGCCTTTACTAAAGAACCCTTGAATAAGCATCTTTTTTAAGAGTGTATATGGTTCAATAGAGAACCTTTTTGAAAAAGTTCTATACAGCACCAATAATGGTTCTACCACTGTTACAATGTCAGTCTTGAAACAATAGCAGCTTTTTTTGGTGCTATACAGAACCAACACGTTCTCCATCAGTCTGAAGAACCATTTCACCATGCAGAGAATCTTTTAAGCATGCAAATGTTTTTTGAGTGTTCATGGTTCTAAATCACTGTCGTGTACTAAAGGCAGTGGT